TATATACATATTTATATATATATTAGGTAGGGACACGAACATTCGTAAACAAGAATAACACATGCAAACACAGTCACCACTACTACTAGGTTAATCTGTACATTTTGTATATACAAAGATCGTGCTTGTGAAAAGATCAATGAAATAAATGAATGAGAGACAAAAACGAGTAGAAAAAACGTCCAAATATGAGAAAATGCACTTGGAAGGACAAGCCGTCGATTTAAGGCGATACGAGACGAAACCGACACGGTACGAAGAATTGTAACGTTCCGTTGTCAACTTTAGGGATGGACAGAGGTCAGAAAGGGGGACTGCCATAGAAGAGGAATTAAACGACATCCTGTGCAGAAATAGAAGAAAATGAATGTAATGGAGACAGAAATTGGCGCAACAGTTGCAACGCACTGTAAAATGAAAGGCAATCCTACAGGCTCTCTCTTTCGCCCGCTTATGTATTGATTAGTGTTGCCGTTTCTGTTGCAAGCAAATGATATACATGATAAAACATATGCTTTTGTTTGTTCAGAGCTTCTCTTCTGGAAGGAAACAGAAAGAAGATCAATACACAATAATGCAATTGAACGCAGTCTGCGTTGTGCGCGCATGTGCGTTAGGCGAATGCAAATGGAGAAACTGACACGAGACGAAGCTCACGGGATCGACATATATACATACTATATCATAAAAATATAATGTTTGTTTAAAGGAAGGATTCTCTTTATCCCGTTATCAATTGAGCATCACGGTTCGCGCTAGATGTTCTTGCGACTTGTATCTATGCGCTGATAATAATAATAACAACTAATGCATGAATGTTGGCTCGATAGGATATACTGAGCGAAACACAGGATGAACTAGTATTGTTACCCCTTTTCCCCAGGATAAAACAAACAGGCAGAGTAAAAACGTCGCCTGCGCACAGAAGCACGCCTGTAATATAAGAACATATATAAGGAAAACATGAAAACAAAGGACCTCTAATTCCATGTTGGTTGCAAAATTCTGTAGGATAATAAGAATAATTTCGTCTATTTTTAAACGCGGTGTGAAGATATCACAGGTTTGGAAAGGAAAAAAGAGAAAAATAAAACGTAACTTTTGTAAAGTTGACAACGTAGCGTTTTCGTCGGAATTATCTGTAATTAACAACTTACTAGTTGTAAATTAGGTATGGGATGTAGTCGACATTGTGTAGAACTTGTATGTCTCAAAAATGAGAAACCTCTCAACTAACAACATGAGTATGACTGCCAAATCAACTACAGCGTTTTAACATAAATGTTCCATGTTGCACAGTCTGATTTTTCCGCATCATAATTTTAAGTCAGCGGTTTTGGTACTATTCCTGACACCGTCTACAGAATGTCACAGTCCTATAGGTTGCCGCCATTTTATATGGATCTCTGTTGATATAAAAGACACTATCACCATTCTAAATCCAAATTTCAGTGGACTTCTAGTAAAAAAAACATTCATTTCATTTAGCATATCGTATAGCAGCCACTAGGCTAACACAGAAGTAACTGTGTATTTGTCTTATGTCTGTAAGGCTCTTTAAAATGAAAAGCTCGTAAATGTTTACCTAATAATCATTATAATGAAATGAAGATATACACTTGTTTGCTTAGTGTTTGGAAGCTCTCGTCCAGCTGGTACATTAGATCGTTTATTTCCTATAAATTGTTTCGCAACTACACAGTGAGGCGCTTTCTTTGCGTTTCCTGCCTATACAGGTTTGTGCGACCCATTCCTTCTTCAATATTTCTGCATTTATTCAGTATTACTACATATTACTGATCTAATCCAGTCGATTTGCCTGCGGCTGGGGCATCCGTTCTTTTGTCAGGTCGAGGTTGAGATCGTAAAATGAGTACTCATTATGCTTGGAGTATTCCGGCACAAGGTACTCTTCACCAGCGGCCTTGTTGAGTCCGGCTGCGGCTGTTATAGAGCTGGAGCGCTCAGAAGCCTTTGACGCAGCTCTTGGAGAGGCTACCGTCTGTGGTGCGGACGAAGGTGACGATTGATTAGCAGGCTGTAATTTGAATGAAATCTAGCTTTTACAATTTCGTGTACTAGATAGTAAAGGTAATCTTAAAGTACTATGTACCAAGCAAATTCATCCGTGAATTTTTTGACTTTGCTTTTGAACAATTTACCACTCACTGATATCCATTTGCAGGTAATCCCAGGTCTTACTAGTATCGACAAAAGATCCTGCTAGTAATTGAATCTAGCGGAGTTTTTGATACGTGTTTGCATGAAAAAATATACGTCAGACTTAAAAAGGATATTTTTTTAAATAATTAAGCATAAAAATAAACGTGCACCCTTCTATGATTAAATTAAATAGAAAATGTATTCTATAGCTCTATCCTTGAATACGTACGGTCCGACCCTTCAATGTTCTTCTTGAAGACCAAAAATCTATATATATATATAATATAGAAAATGTTACGGCAATGATGTATAAATATGGTAATACACACCGATTTTATTTGTTTGTTTCTCATGTATGAAATAAGCTTTTTAGCAATGTTTTCATTTGAACCGTTGAAGTCCCTATATTGACCTTTTTTTTTTGTAAACTGAAGAAATAAGACGTCATATGCGCAGTAAAGAACTCAGCGTTATGATCTGCTGATAAGTATAATAAGAGAAATAATAATTACTATTACATGGATTTGAAGTATTATCAGGCCCTTTTATATATATTTAGAAAAACAAACGTTAATTTCTGCCTGGCGAGCACAACGAAATGCGTGATGATATCAGACTCAGCATTTGTTACTTTAATCCATTAAGTTGCCGAAAAAGTACTGACCGTTCGTAAAACGAAATCAAAGATATTTAATTTAGAATAACATTATTAAACCTTATGTGTACCTTTTTTGTTGATAACACTATGATCCCATCGCTATAGAAATTTTGTGCTGTTGCCGGGGCAAAAACTGTGAGAAGTCATTTTTGTATTCCTCTATTGACGAACGAAATTTAACTCTTCTGAGAAATCTCTGCAGAAACTGAAATATATAGGTCTGATGGTGCAAAAGTCGGGCTATAACACAGGCGCATTTAAATTTTCCGTCTGTTTTTTTTTTCTCAATTTTGGCCTAGTAGTTGATACTATATATAGTCTGGCATTCATGGGAATGGAAGACGACGCTTCTTACGTTTATTAGCACCGGTCGATTACTTTCCCTGGTTTGTTAGAATCTTCGTAGTTGTTCACAGTAGAGATTCGAATCAATCTCTGCCAAACGCCTGCAACTCATAATGGATTTTCCAATTCGACCAAACGCATAGCATCACCTTTTTCCTTGGCGTCAGTCTGAGCTTTGCCGCAGACTGTAGAGCAAATTTTTTTTTTGCTTATTATTGTATGTTATAGTACGTTTTATATCAACTAAGCTTGCTCATTTTCCTTTCATTTCCTTGGAGTTTCAAAGATAGAAATACGATAGAGTATTTTTTTATGTTGATTTGTTCGGTACCCAAACGTTTTGAATTCTTTTTTTGTTGATTGAATAAAGGTACTTCGACAACATCAGCGTATGTACCACTGTCAAATCTCAGCTTTCAGATGACACCGGCGGCAATTCGACTCATCATGAGATATTTGTAGCTTCAATTCTATCTAGCTAGTGAAACAGTTAATATTTTTTTACAACTCAATATAATGATGATAATTATGTTTGCATGCTTAACACACGTGTACTCCTGTACCACTTGTTAGTATCCGATTTTATTTTCTGATTTTGCGTTTCCTACAATATATGAGTATTTCCGGGGGAGGGAAAAGGTTCCCCGAAACATGAAGGTTCGTACAGTGTACAATAATGCAAGCCACATTATTGCTTAAAATCTTGATGATATTGCAGTAATATTTGACAAAACAGGCGTAAACGACTCTTCGCTACAATCAACAGTAATTCTCCATTGTTTATTGTATCAGCCTTATTCACGTACCTGGTTGGTGGTTTGCGAAATTTCAGCGAAGTTCTTAATCTTTTTAGGAGGCTGATCGGACAACTGCCTCTTGGCGAGTATAATTGCAATTAGTCTTCTCGAACCCATAGCTCTGTGTTTTTCAACAATCTACTAATATTAAAGGGTTGTCTACTGATTAGCAATGGCCGTCCTTTACAAGTTTGTTTACTGATTAGAAATCCATGTTCCGACATTTAACGTGAAATCAACGGAGGTTTGCAGACGCAGTGATATCAGGGTATCAAGCAAATAAGGCCAGCCCGCTCGCCCGCTGGTGCTCGCAGAAATGAAGGAAGGTCGTATGTAGCTATGAATTCGAATCAGAGGTTTCGTCTTAAAACAGTTACGTTGGGGATATATTATTCTTAGTCGCTGCTACCAGATAAATGCAATGCTTTACAAACTAATGGATCTTACAGTTGTTGCAAATAACTGCTACGTTAGACGGAACCGATCTTTGCAAACAATATTACGTGTCGCCATTGTTACCATCTTTGTTTTTATGACTACATGTCTCTATTTAGTTGCAGCAGATTATGCCGGCATATGTGCATTGGAAAGTCTTCATATTATGATTACACCATATTGATGTTACTGATATTCAGTAAACCTGATCATATAGTACAGTTTAAAAAAAATGGTTAAAGGTCTATCATCTTGAAGTTAGTTCCAAAAGCACATTGATGCATCTGTCCATAAATTTGGGCGTCTGCTATTGTTTATTTGAAAAACAGAACAGTACTAATATTTAGAACATTTAGTTGGCTTGAGTCTGTTAAAGGCGATCATCGCCTTCTTTTCCTGCGGCGCCGTTTTTGTCTAATGTTGTGTATTATAAATACCGATTTGTTCAACGGATTACCGTAAAACGATTTGTGAATTATTATTTGCGTATAAAATTCTTGAAATACCTTTGATCTCACTTATAAGGTGATTACTGTACTGAATAATTTTACTAGTTTTATATCATGCACCATTATTGAGTTTTCCCGAACAAGGTAGTTTGTATTCTACTTTCGTTCGTCGGGTAGCACCTCGAAAAAAATGGGTAAAGCGGAGGCTGGAACACCAAAGGCGATCGCCAACGCAATCAAGTCGAAAGGGCTTCAGAAGCTACGATGGTACTGCCAAATGTGTCAGAAACAGTGTCGAGATGAGGTCAGTAGTGGTCTTATTTATTACTTGAATTATTTATAACAGTACTCGTGTTTTTTGACATTTACACAATTCTTTGCTAGCATCTGCGTGCACCGCTTCAGCAGACATGCATATTAGAAGGGCAATGATATATGACGGGAGTATCTCTGAAGAAAAGACCTCAGCCATATATAGTTATTCCTTAGAATAGAGACAATAGAGTAAAAACAATTTCAATATTAGGATAACTGAAATTTTTTCGAACTCACTGACACACTCAATTTTGCGACAATATTGTTCATAAATTTCAGAACGGGTTCAAGTGTCACACGATGTCTGAGTCCCATCAAAGGCAGCTGCTGTTATTCGCGGAAAATCCAGAGCAGTATCTCGACTCATTCTCTGAGTAAGAACCGACGAAGATCGATGTTTATCTCGCCTTTTATTCTAGTGTAGAAGCCTTCATACCATACAAATGGGTCTAAGACCTATATAAAATCAGCGTTTGTGCGTGAATAGGCTATATTGCGGCGTTATCATTGACTGAAACCATTTTTATTTATCTACTGATGTTTATTGGATAGAGAATTTAAGGAGGGATACCTGGATATACTTCGCCGCCAATATGGAGGAAAACGTGTACATGCTAACCAAGTATATCAGGAGTATATTCGCTTCAAGGAGCATATACACATGAATTCGACAAGATGGCTAACATTGACAGAGTTCATAAAATGGCTTGGAAGGGAAGGTTGGTGCTACGTCTTGACTGGCATACAAATATGCAATCATATAGTTTATACAACTATTTTTTAAAATTGGGGTTTGTATATGGTCCATTAAAGTGCATCTATAAGTTGTCTTGTAGGATGAAAATTTGTTACCTCTTGGTGTTGTGTTCGTCTTATATGCTCTCTTGCTCAGGTTAGAAGGGGCTTTCATGGCATACTAATATGTGTGCTTTTCTAAGTGTTTCCATAAGGGTTATGAATTTACTTAGTTCCGCGTTTTTGGGGTGCAACCATGAGAATCTTCGTCTAATGGTGCAAGCTGGGATATTTTTATTCCAGGAATCTGCACAGTTGATGAGACTGAGAAGGGTTGGTTTGTTGCGTACATTGATCGAACATCGGAAGCGATTTTGGCTGAGGAACGACGTTCGAAAAAGGCCAAACTCGAAAAGGACGATGAAAAAAGAGCTCAGAAATTCCTTCAACAACAGCTGGAGAGACTGAAAGAGAAAGAGGTAGACTGTGGTCTTTCTAAAGAGGTTTCCGCCGACAGCAAGGTGTTGAAGCGGGAAAAGGAAGACGAGAAAGTTACTTTATCATTTTCTGCAACCGCATCAGCGAAAGAAAGCAATTTAACGTAAGTGTTCAATTGAAAGGACATCAGGCTTAGCACATCGTATTTGGTCGTGCTTTGGACTTCTTCTATCAACTGGCCCAAACCTGAACGCGACTGGTTCAATTGCGAGATAAATGTTAAATTAGGGCAAGGTTTACATTGACTATTTTGAGCAGATTTATTAAACAGAGCCGTTTTAATTAATTTCGTTTTTCTACAGCAAGCATTTACCGAAATTCAACCCCCTAGTGAAGCTTTCGTCAAAGTCCTTGAAACCCAATTTAACGGACAAACCATCTTCGTCATCATCCTCCTCAAAACGATCAGCTCTTGACGAAATCATGATGGAAGAAGCGCGCAAGAGGTCTGCAAAGAAAGATTATTGGCTCACAACTGGTATCATTGTCAAAGTGCTGACAAAAAGCATCGGTGAGAAGTATTATAAACAAAAAGGCGTTGTCACGGTAGGTGGTATTCAGACTTATTGGCCGTTTATATACTAATCCTATCTTTGTGGTTTTGCTTCTTGTAAAGCAAGTGACTCCCGTTCAAAATGTTAGATAAATTTAAATAATAACAGCGATTCCCTAGCTTCCCATTCTATGGAAATAGATAATTTATTATGTTTTTTTTTCTTGAAAAATCTAGTTTATCTTAAAGATATTGACTTCAGATACCCTATAAAGCCAATATTATCTGTCGAATTAGAGTGATCTTACCTTGATTTGCCGAAACACAATCGTGTAGGTTTTTAAAAAGTGTAAACAACTATGGTAAGTTCGTATTATATCTGGATGCTAATGTTATATGGATTATCATAATTCTTTTTCTAGGAGGTGGTAGACCGGTATGGGGCGGTTGTTAAATTGCTAGACAGCGGAGTATCTCTGAAGTTGGACCAGGTACATTGTGAGACTGTAATACCGGCCATTGGCAGAAAAGTCAAAATTGTGAATGGGGCTTATAGAGGACAAGAAGCCACCTTGCAGAGCATTAATGTGGATAAATTTTGCGCAACGTTGAAATTAAAAACTGGAGTCATTGCTGAAGACGTGGACTACGAGAACTTCTCGAAACTTCACTCATCGTAGCCTAAAATGTAGTTTATGCATGTAAAAAAACTTGAAGTGATCTGTAAATATACTGTACTTGTAAAGTTTTTTTGGAATTTTCACTGAAGTTTATGCTCCATTGTATACACCGAGTCGCTTACAGTGTTATCTTTTAACTTTTTACATAATGTTCTTTATTCTAGATCTGTGCAATAGCAACATTCTGATGAGGTTTGAGAGTTATTCTTTACAGCAACGGGTTCTTTGTTAGGCGCTTGTTGGCTATCAGTCTCACTATGTGGATCTAAAAGGTTTAAAATTGGTGCGAACTAATTTTAAACTTGTCATATTTAACAAGGGTGTTTGCTTTGAACCTGTCGCAACGACTCTAAGTTTTTTTTAACCCTGCTTGAAATTAGGGCTAATATATGTCACAATCTAGAAGACATACGTATTTAAAACCTTGATGTATTAGTTCAGATCCATGATCTCAGAGCTTCCCAGCATTCAAATTGCTTTATAGTTCGCAAGCGTGACTCTTTCAATAGCATACTTTAAGTACCTGAGCTTCGGAGTTACTGGAATTCTCAAGCCAAAAACAGTATTGCGGAGCAAGTTCCTCAAGCTTGTAGTTGTTTTTTTTATTTCGATACCCAGTATAGAGAGTAACATAATTCACTGTAGAGCAATTAAGGTTTACATTTTAGTACCCGAGATAGCAATTGGCTAAGGCGTTTTGGAGTCTTAAAACGTCTTTGCTATAGTCAACCCGTGATTAAACTTCAACGTAATCTACATAGATTTTAAACGATACACCTTAAAGAGAAACACTTAGCTGAAAAATTCTGTGTAGAAAAACACGGGAAAGATTTAGAAAAGGCAGCTGGACACGAGCTAACATCTATCTGGTTGCGAAACACTCTTTTGATCAAAGAATATCCTGTCTTGCAGAAAAAAAACTTCAGCTTACTTTGTTATCTTCACTCTGGGGCCGTTTTGTGATAGCATGTATTTGAGCTTACGGTGCGTGACAGAAACAACTTAGATAGTAATCAGAGCATTTATTTTTGTGAATGTTATGTGCTTCGCCATATGGGGCTTCCAAAAATAAAAAAAATTACGTGTTGGGCATCCAAAAGATAGAAATTGGAAGAAAACCTGGGCCTATAGGCGAACCACTTGTGTGTAGTCGTCGACTTAGAATTGGTGTTTTCGTATGTTATCGTGTATATAACCGAGTAAAGAAGCAATAAAAACGGGCAGTGGTAAGGGCCCATTAGTTCTTGCTATAATTGTTTCTTGTGGATTTTCTAGAATTTCTTTCGCGTAACATTCCATTTTCTTGACCACTATAGCAGTTCGGGGATGGCCGTGTGTAATATCTTAGGGCCGAACTGCAGTTTTATGTAAGTATGTTAGGCAATGTACCCACGTGCAGTGGCGTAGTTTTAGACAAAATTGCGCGACCAAGATAGTCGCCTTTTCTTTACCTTCATTTGCTTATTTGGTCTTTTGATAAGCGTATTTTGTTTAGTTCAATCTGGTGTTTTACGTGATGACAAAAGCGTCTCGGCAAAAAATAAAGTTGAAAGGCATCCTCTATTTAGAAACCTGACTTGCAAAATATATTTGTAATAAATATAGGTGGATGATTCAGCATACTTTGAGGCGTGCTTTCTGTGTTTTCTGTCGCCAAGAAGATGACATAGATGGTCATACGTCATCGTCAAACAATGTCATAGTGATCTGTGCAATGCATAATTCGATCCTATACATTAAGCCGTTACAGGCAAATGCGGCTGGCTTTTGAATAAGTTGAAATTGAATAGGTTTTGAACTACGCGCCGTGGCCCAACGGAATTTGTCTGGTAAATACTCCAGCTCCCTTTAGAAACTTGTGAGTGAAAACCTTTTGAGTTTATTCGAAGGAAAATAGACCTAGCAGGAAAGCATCTTTTCGTCTCGGAAATCAATGCTCAGTGGTTAAGTTTTTATTTTTGCCACAGTGCAGGAAATTCATCGAAAATTGGTAAGAAAAAAGGCTATGAACAACAGCAGAGTACTCAAATGGTGAAATTTTTCAAGAACAAAGGTTAAAATGTTGAAGTCTAGCACGGAGGCAACTAAACGTTGGAAGCCAAAAGACAGGAACGCATTGTCGTAAACGAGGAGGTTCCATTACGACAGCAAAACTTCGGAGTCTAACAGTTCTGTCAGTCTAAACTAGAATTTCATATGTAGCGTACTACAGAATTATAATTCAAATCCTAAACATGGGGAGACTGAATAAAAATGGGTTCCCTGTAAATTGATTCCAGGCCAGTTGAAAATGGGTGCGGTGTATTTTACGCGCCATTTGCAGAACTCTAATCAACAAAGTACCCACTTGAAGCATATGACAGCCATAGATGATAATGATTTAATTTCTACTGCGAGCTAGAATGGATCAGGCAAAAAAATATACGTCGCTCTGGAGAGAAATCGAGTTCGGGCAGTGTTGAGTCGGTTCGTGTGCAAGGTAATAGTGGTACTTTCAATAGACATCTGTGGCATCTGGCGCTACGATATCTTGCCGAGAATGAAACAATGAATGCAGCCCGCTATCCCGAGTTCCTCAAAGACCATTGTCAAGACAATCGAAAGCGTACAGCCTGGTTACTAGATGATAATGCTGGACTTTATCGCCACGCCCCAATAATTTTAGAATTGAACAAAAAAATATCAAATTTTAGTTTCGACTTGGTCATTCTCCTGATTCAAGTTCGTACAATCACCAGGTTTTTGAAATTACCGTAAAAAAGTTACCATGTAGGTAAACTGGTAAGCAAACATATTCCATTACTGGTTTATGTAAACGATAATAATAGATGTATAGATGTCCAGAAACTTTCCGAGCGCATACGGAACGAGTGTATAAAAAAGTGTTTCTAACTCATACTAAAAAACTCGTCATCTTAGCCCAGCTAATTGAAGATTAACTTCAAAGACCGTCGGATCCGTTTGTTTATCCGTTTCTATGCAAGTAAAGGGACGAGCATGCAATAGGATGTGAAATCTAAAAACAGATTATGCGTAGACACGGAATTGTCGAAATAATCCGTTTTAGAATATTCTGAGGTAAGTTTTTGAGTATAATCGATTGGCATTGTCTATGCTTTTATAAAGAAAAAAATAATTTGTATTTTGATCAGACGGTTGCTTTGAAAATAATAGTGAGTAATATTTTAGTGAGTATTGGAATTACGAGGACTGTAAGATATATAGGTAGTATTGAATGAATTCATTTTTAAGGCATATTCAAGTTGTTTCTGTTAGCTTACTGTTCAATTCAACAATCTCATAACAATCAGAGGAATTCTCAAAATAGTAGTCAATCTCACATGGCTGGAAGGACAATACATGTATGAATGTGCGACTCTGTTGGCCACCCACTCGATAACAAAAATCAGTTTTGTTGAAATTCTACTATATGTATACGATTATGCCTATATGATGTAAGCGATACAAAACCGCTACCAAACTGAAAACTTACTAAACTGAAACTTAAACGGCCAACTAAAACAATTTATTTTTATTCGAGAGAACTACAAAGACATTCTATAAAAGAGAACTTTGTTGACCCGTAGTTGATTTAATAAATATATTTTTCTAGAAGTAACAGTGCTGTTGATGCTATCCGGGTGTTTGGATGGTATGCTTGACGTAACCGCTAAATCACAGTGCTTTATATTGTGATTCTGTTTAAGTTTTGGACTACGACAACGACCAAGGTACGTTGGCACTCTTCACAGTATAAATCGTTTTAGATGGCGTTATTATTTCGGGCATAAACTCCGAGACAGCCGCAAGACAGAGTGATGCAGACAGCGATTCCAACAATCAAAAGAAAGGCATCGAAAGTTTCAGAGCTTTCGGCTTTTACCCCCGTAACGAACGAGAGTAAAGAGACCACAACAGGTGACAGGGATAACACTGTCGAAGAAAAAGCCATCTGAAACGCGAGAAATTTTCATTGTTGATTATCGTTTCGCTCAAAGAGCACGAGAACTGCATAAAATATATAGGCTCTACCAGAAAATATAAAAAAAAATAAAAAAGTACTATCTGTATAAATACTAATATGAATTACAAGCAAAGGTAAATGCGAAAGTAACCTAGGTATAGAATAATTATTACTTAGAGATCTCACTAAAATTGATCGATTTATTTATATCGCTATCGTATATCTTTCTATCCGTTTAGGATCCGCGCTTTTATTTAATATCAGAACTTAATACTGCTAGGGACACTGTTAAGGCATAGCGCTGAACAGTGGACTAAGTAATCGTAGATTTTGAAGATAAGAAATGCTATCTGATTTATCGGAATATTTATTTTTTCTTTTCACCATAGGGAAACAATCTATGATAACAGCCTAGATATTAACTTAAATACTGCTTGGCCGATTATGATACTTATAAGAGGCATACGAAGTAGAATTTTGCGATTACATTATTCATGTTTACTGACACGTCACACATGCAGGTACATAAGTTGCGCAGGACTTACGGTGCAAAATGTTGCACAGTACATATTACGGGATCACCGACTTAACCAAAGTAACCACACTTTAATAATGCTTATGCTGACACAACCGTAGCTTCAGTTTCCTGTATTATTAAGAAGTTGTGAATGGAAATCAATATTTCTTAGAAATAAAAAAAAATACGCTTTCTGCTAAAGCATAGTTTGTCAGTCTTTAAAAAATACTACGCACCTTCTGTTTGAGTAAATATTAATAACGAAAATAGTATGTTGCACGGCAAAAGCTTAATTTTTTTAATCTCTAGTGGCCCATAGATTCCGATTGCTTCGAAGTAGCCCTTTTTGAAAATTAGGGTGACAAATTATTTTCTATAAAAACATCAAACGCTCACCGTTCACGCAGGCTTCGGTAACCAATCAGATGATGGTAAAATCGTAGAGAACTCTCAAACATGAATTCAAGCAGACGATGGACAGAAACGTTATGGCAGACGATACACTCAATCGTTGTGATACCGCGCGGCCAAAAAGATTCGTAACATTTACTCACCCTTAAAACGCAGTTTTATTCACAGCACTCATTTACAGATTATCAAGATGTGACGCAATCTTCTGGAACCCTTATATAAAAGCCGATTATAGTTACTCGTGGAGTAGCAACAAAAATGTAGAGTAGTCGAAAATACGTACATTCTGTATCGGAGACTAATATTTATCACTATATCAATAATATAAAAACTGTATATTAAATAATATGCATAACATAAATTCTACAAACAAAACATGGCCATGTTTTATTTAAATTTAAATTTTTTAAATAAAATTAATGTGTTAATATGTTCCGTCAACTAACTATAATTATGATTATATTAATTATTATTCATTATTAATGATACGTTCCGGATTACAAAAGAAAACCACGTGGATATATTCTATAATCAAAACGTGGTGTATACGAACGACTCTAAGCCCTAAAATTTCTTTCAACGCAAATACAGTATTTCGTCAACTTCTTAATTTTTTTCTAAGGAGATTTGCTGGTTCGACTGTTGTAATCCATAATAATGGTGTGAGATGATTGATGCACCAAGTTGCACGGTCGTTGCACAACATTTTAAGAAACTTTTATAGAAGTAAAACACCAAAAGAGTATCCATTACTAATTTAATTATTATACTCTATTTAGAACAAAACTACAAATTCGTACTGAGAATCACTGCCCCGAAAAGGACAAAAAGTATACTTTCATTAACCTGTGCTAATGAAATACATTTATTGGTTAGTACTTCACATGCTATTCAACATTTCAGTTTTGTAGAATAATTAATATTATGATTATAAATGTCGTGGGCGATTTCGTGAAACTACTCAATCAACTACCTAAAAACAATGGTCTTGTAGTGGGTTGTACCCTGTACATGGTATAATTCATAACGATTTTCTATATTGTTTATACTTATTCATAATTGCATTATTTAGAAGTGCTTTGTATGTGAAAATTAGCACTCTGTTGGTTCAGTTTATTTTTATAATCTTAGTTGACATGGAACTCAATTCGTCTCTTCGAGGCACTCAGCGTGCCATAAACAAGCGTCCACTACGCAGAGCTTTCTGTTTCAGAATCCAGTTCTAGACATGGTGTGCAGGCCATTATTTCAATGTTTAGACGCAGAACCTTTTCTACTGAATATAATATAGCATTGAGTATTCCTTTAACGTTATTATGGTTATCCTTTCCGAAAGCGAATGATTGTCGCGACTAAGCGTTGTGCGCTGAGCGGTAAAGAAGTGTAGCACAACCGCAGATTGCCAAGCTTTCGACCTATAGCTTACCAGATGTGGTTATCACAAGCTGTTGTCACAAATGTTTATCGCCTTTGCAGTTTTAAACCTGAAAATTAGTTTTTTGTAGGATGTTCCCTCGTCAAAGCAAGTCCACCTATCTAAGCACATACCATATATGTCTAAATATATTACCCACTTTACCATAAAAACGCTCTACAATAATCTCAGTACTCATCGCTAGTGGATACAATGCAAGCTGATTTTTATGTCATTCGAGTTCTATCGATCTATTTCAATGAAGAATATACTCAGCTTTCCTTTGATTTGTATAAATAGCGCTCTAACCATAAAATGATAAGAACAGGTGAGTGGATGCAGAGGGAATACTCGCTATGCCAGTACCGATATTGCTGCTAATAATTCGCAGTTGTATTTGTTGTGAAGATCACATCTGGCAGATGGACTGAAAAAGGGTAAATTTTTACTGATATTTCTTACTGCTTCCGAAAAGGTGAAATATAGTTTTTCACTATTGAACTATTTACTATCATTTTTTTGCAGCGGTAGAGACGTGAAATTATTCACAAATATCAGTGACTTCTACGGCTTTTGAGACAAAAATCTTTAATCCATTTGCGGAGATATAGTACATCTTTGGCGCGAGACATCAGCTTTCCGAGCGCTGATCCTCATAGGCACTGAACAGAGATTAAACATTCTAAACTTAATTCATTTATACCACATTATTCTCATATTTAATTAGTCAAAAATAAGTAAATATTATGACAAATTAAAACGTGCCCAACACCTATCTGATCTCTTCCACCCTCGATCATCAATGTAAGCCATTTCCAGTTATGACATTCGATTTTGGTACTCCTTTTATGATATATCTTCGCAAAAAGTACTTTGTTGCTTTACAGAAATCGAGCCATCGAATTATCCAGGGGAGCTGGATTTCTACCTCAATTCTGCCTTAGCTATTCCGAAACTTCAATCACTTTTCTACGGAATACATTCAAATCTATGATCTAAATAGATGAAAATCATATTATGTGATGTAACGGTGCCATCAGCTAAGGTGGTCCCTTGTGTGTATGATAGAAGTAAAATGTAATTTGAATAAAAAGGTATAAGACACGTCGCTCACTTATTCGAGAAACTGTCCATTCCTGCCGCACGTCCCGTTCCGCATATTGGTTGCGGAGTTGCATAAGCAGAGATTGGCGCAACATAGAACTAGTTTGTCTGCCCAAACAAGTCCTATGGTCAGTTGAATAGGATATATGCAATATTTATTTGTTGAGAAGCCGTTCTAATGTTTGTTAGGTTGCGGTCGTCCAGTATCCAGTCTACTTTTTCGCCGTACAAAGCCTATCTGGATAATTGGTTGTAGGACAAACCAGTGTAATAGGTCCAGAGATCGACTCTGCCGCGCTACCCATATTAGCTACGATTTTGTCAGGAATTTTGCATGTTATCCGTTAAAAGATAAATCTGAAGGACGCCACTAACTTTTACTATAGATTGTAGGATTTCCAGTTAAGTCGCTTCCTACTATTCGTCTGTGACTAGATCACTCTCGTTTGCGTCCCAAGCTGAGTTATTCTCTACGTTGTTGGCACTCTGCCCGTGACAAGGTTACGTTGCCTTGACAGAGAATCCGTTATAGAGACGATGTGGCTAATTTGCAGAGCATTTCGAAGCAGTGCGAGCATGACTAAGTTAATTATAACCCAAAATAGCTATGGAAAATTATAAACCGCCACAGGAATTGTCGATATATAGGGCACTACGCGACCTTCTACCTATCGCCCAGTCACTTAAACATTCGTTCCGACATTCCTGTAGGGTATCTCTTTTTTTGAACCTTATAGCGTTCTTATGCTATGCATAGGTGAAGTAAGATCTTAACGTCGCGTTGAGTTGAATAACGTAGCGACAACACAGCACCTGCAGAGATACAGTCCGCACTAATAGTCGTTGCCGTAGGAGCGTTCAATCCTCCCAGCGTTAAGATAACTTGTCCAGCATTTGTTTCGGCCCACTGGCTGACATGCTGTTGCATCAGTCACTCCAATCCCGTAAGTCGTCACCGGAGTGACCGCAGTGCGCAATGTCCTTGTTCTATCTTACCTCCTGTTGCTTTCTATAGTCGTGCTAGTCGAGCCAACAACCGCTGTAACATGGTTCAGATATATTGATTGTTGTAAAAAAAATAGTGCGTCAAATATCTCACAGATTATAGTAATAAACAATGAGATATCTCTTGATCAAGAGGGGCTCCTATTAGCTGAGTCATTTGCGTCAAGCTTTAAAGTTGACACCTCGAGTCACGTTGACTCACGTAATGATCAAACGTGATGCAAATTGCGTGCATACTTAATAAAGTGCATACTTAACATAAATAGTTAAATAGTTGTTCTTTCTTGTCCATTCATTTAAGTTTTTATAATGGTCGTAATGTAATAAATCTATATGTACACGCTTC